TGCTTTGGCTCAGAGCCTGCTCCTCCCATCCTCCCCACCATTGCTGGGTCAGCCCAGGCCCACTGCTTCCCCTGCCATGGAGGCCCGGCTTCTCCTCACTCTCAGGCCCAGTCCTCCCCTGTATTGGGCCCAGCCCAGTCCTCCCCTCCCCCCACCACTGCCACATTGGGCCCTGCAGGCAGCGATGATGGAAGGGGGGAGGGGGAGGCCGAGGCCAGAGCCAGTGGCCTTGCCCCCCCACAGCATCCCAACTCGACTGCCCCCTGCGCTGCCACCACCATCACCTGCAAGGAGTAAGCAGGGGGTGAGGCCAGCTCTGGTGGCCTTGCCCCCCGACCTCCACTCCATCATCGCCCTCCCCCTGGTTCCATCTACTCTGTTGCTCTCACTTCCAGGGAGCAGGGCGAGGGAGGGGGGTGAGGCCAGCACAGCTGCATCCCCTGTGTCCCTGCCATCATGGCAGCGCTCCACCACTTCCATTTTCTGTTTAAACGCTTGTTTTGACACTGATTGGCTGTATGTGTGTGCACGTGTGTCGTCAGGCACAGGGGCAGAGTGTGTGTGTGTGTGGGTGTGTGTGTGTTCATCGGGTGAGTCACACACGAACACCCCTCCATACACATGCACCTATGCCTCCCCTCGCACTGCCATACACAAACCCAGCCACCCTCCCCCCAAATTCACCCACACCCCACATACTCACAACTCACAGCCGCCACAAACCTATACCCACTCCCCACAATATACAAGAATAAGACTTCATTTTAAGCTATTGTGCATTCACCACTACGTACACTACACAAATGTATGTAAACCAGGACAAAAAATTTTTTGAAATCAAATTAATGAATGTTGTAGGTGATGACTTTTTAGAATATAATTTGGTATTTTTCTGGTTCTGAGATGGCAAAACCCCTTGCTGAAAGGAGTACTTCCGGGAGCAAGGGGAGGGACTTCTGGTGGCAAAGGTCAGGAGTTAGGGGGTGGGACTTCTGGACACAAGATGGCGACCAAGGGGCGGGGCACCTGTCAAGGGGTGAGGCTACCCATGAGACCCTTGACAGCTTGCCAAAACTTGGTAAGTGGCCCTCCATCCAAAATAATTGCCCGCCCCATCCTAAAGTGATTTAAGCCTTTGTTTGCTACTTTGGTATTATTAGTATTACTGCCACCAGTCCCTTGCTCAGACTTTGGTGGTACATAAGCCACCAAACAAAGTTGCCATATTTGGTAACCAAAGCCAGCAAATCAGAAATCTTGCATTCCATGCTTTTGGATATATTACCTTGTGCCTTTCACTGGATTGTTGTTGCATGGTTCCCAATGACCAGATCCAACTATGCTTGCTTCTATGTAATACCCAACCAACTCCTTTGCATCTTGGGGTTCTGTCCAAGTGACAACGACTGAGGTGTCTGTATTCCTGGTTGGTATAATACGGCCAGGAGCTTTTGGAATATCTGGTGGGGGAAAAACCAAAACCAAATGAATGACCAGTAACGTTGGAATTGTGCTGTACTATAGACTATAGTTTACATTCTTTTTTTGGTTGCACTAGTGTGAATCCAAATAGCTCCACTGACTTCAGGGCATAACTTCTAGCATAATTCAGCCTTATGTTTTAAAAGCCGTGGGTCCTTACTGTGACTACTATCTTAGATTTTCTTTCACAAAAAGGAGTCTCTGTGTCCATGCAAGTGTTATAAGCACCATATTTTTTTGGTAAAACAGTAATAATTAGGGCTGGTAACATGACCGCCACATGCCCCTGGAGACTGGTGGGGCATGGTGAGCTCCAGCAGGTGGTGGCGGCACTGGCGGTGGGGGCAGGAGTGTGGTGGTAGTAAGCAGGGATCTCCTGCAGGCAGTCGTGGAGCAGGCGGGGGTGTGGGGGACGAGCACTGAACAGAGGTCAGTGACCACCTGCAGACACTGCCAGCAGCATCGGTGGTGGCCAGCAGCAATCATGGACTGCCCACATGCGCTGCTGGTGGTGTCGGTGGTGGAGAGAGGGGTGGCAAGCAGCGACCACCTGCAGGTGCCGCTAGCAGTGTTGGTGGTGCCTTTTCATAGGGGGTGCACTGTCATGCTCAGGGTGTGCATGTGCACCCCCTACACATCACCAAGGGCTGACAATATAGAGGAATTATTTTCAGCGAAAAACTGCAAACAAAAAACGAGTGTGATTTTTGGATGAATTCCCTCTCCCCCCTTGTGCAATTTTCTTTTCACGTATTTAACTTTTACTAAATTACTTGCGGTCTTTGCTGCAGTTTTTGTATCTGCCATTAAATATACAATGGATCAATAACTCAGGTCATGATTAACTATGTAAAAAATAACATATCACTATCTACAGTCCACAGTAGTGCCAACCATGTAAAACCCATAAGTCTTCTTCCTGTAAAATAATGTAACCATTATATAGTCTCAGAGACTGTACAATATACCTGGTGATGTACTTACCAAGTTTATCACCCACCACAGTTGATTCTGTTGCTTCACAGGGCTCACCAATGCCAGCTGAATTACAACAGCGAACACGGAAATGATAAGATTTCCCCTCAGCCAAATCAAAAACAGCAAAACGAGGAGATTTTACAGGGATCTCAGTGTTCACTCTCTGCCAGTTCTCGGTGCCTGCAATACACTGCAATCAAAAGGAGAAACAGTTTTTAGGACAAATATTCCGAGTACAAAGCTTAGAAAATTATCTAGGATGTCAAGCAGTTCCATCTGGACTGCCAAAGGCACAGCTATTATGGAAGAAAGACCCTGTACTCTTCTGTTCGGCAAGGCCTCACAATGAATTAATAGATTTCTCATCTTTCAGGTGATCACTGATTCCAGAGTCCATACCTATGGGCAATGCCATAGCAAGGAAGTTTGGTGCCTGGGGCAAGACCAAAAAACACCACCCCCAAACTTCAATTATTATAAAAATAAATCATTTTAATTGTGTGCCAAATAAGAAAAATATTACATTTTTTACCATATATACAACATACTTTCTGGGTTGGTTTGGGGGACCATGGCTTTGCAGGGAGTGGGAGAGGTGGGTTATACCACCCCTACTTTGGGTTTTACTAGGGCAAAAGTGGGCCATACCAATGTCTGTTGCAGGGAAGGAGCATGGGCTATACCAGTGCAGGTGCACGGCCCTACCAATGCAGCTGAGGAGGAGGGAGGAGGGTGGGAGGCAGCACTGTATGAATGCTGCCGGGAAGCAAGTGGACTGTACCAATGGTGTGGGGTTGGGCGGAGGACTGTACCAAACTGGGCTCTGGCAGGGGGGGAGGTGTGGTGGAACTCCCTGGATGGCCCTGAGCATGGTGTGAGGGAGGGGCATGGTGGCTCATGAGGAGCCATTGGCATGCGGGGAGGGGCGGGCATCCCACATGGGCTGTGCCATGGGTGGCTCCTGCTGGGGAGGCAGGAATGGAGAGCCCCAAGCCGCCAACTGCAGCCAAAGCAATAGGGGCAATGGCAGCCAGATATGAGCCTAGGAGGTTCTATGTTAACCCCTCGCAGGTCACTTGCACAGCCCTGTCCTGAACAAAGTGTTTTAACACTTGCTCAGACTTTAGTTTTCAGAATGTGAAAAGAAGCATCTTCCACAAGAAGTTTTGCAGATATCTCAAATCACCAAAGAGACAATACATTATCATCACAGTGCTTGTTGAAGCTCCCTGGCCACTACAATGTGCTCGTTAGCGTGGCTGGCATCACAGTGTCTTGGCAGGGAGATCCCCTATTCTCTAATAAATCTAGGGACTGCGATCATTGGAGTGCACTGTGAGTGGCTGTACAGTTAAGATGGTCTTTTGTGCACTCTTTTCTATTACAATGAACCATGATCTGAGCTAGATTTTTCAAAAAACAAAAATGTTTTAATTATTAATGTTTTTAAAAAAACAATTAAGGTTTTAATGTGTGGCTAATTTTCGCTGATACAGAAGTGATATATTTGGGCTAAGTACAGAAAGTCAAAAAGCCCGAGGCTGAATCGATTCAGTCTTTAGACATTAATCTAAGCTGCATAGATTGAACCAATAAACAAGTGAATAGACGTTCACTTTTGATTCCAGAAATGCATCCACATGACTGCAGTGGCCCATAGCGGTTACCTAAAGGCACTATTTCAGATGACAGCCCTCAGTTTGTTTTTGAAGAGTTTCAAAGAAAATGAAAACAATGTTATCAGAGAACACAACAGCTGATCCATGTCATCCAGCATCCAATGAGTTAACAAGTGCTTTTTTCATACAGATATTTAAAAGAACACACAGGCAGAAATGAAGGGTAAAGCTTGCCACACCGGGTTGCCAATTTTCCCTAAACTGAAAATTGGCCTACTCCCATTATCTGCTTTTCAGAAAACCTCAGCAGAGCCACCATTTATGTCAATAAATTGATTTACTTCATTTACATTGTAAGATCATTCAAATTTCATGAGATGGATTGGAAATAGAACAGAGTAAAGAACCCACAAAGTCTGTTGTTTTCCTTAATTGTTTTTTGAGAAACATTAATAATTAAAACATTTTTGTTTTTTGAAAAACAATAATTAAAACATTATTGTTTTTTGAAAAATCTAGCTCAGATCATAGTTCATCATAATAGAAAAGAGTGCACATAAGACCATCTTAACTGTACAGCCACTCACAGTGCACTGTGACAATTATTCCTGGACCAAGGGAGGGAAGTGGATGAGACAGTTATTGCCAGAAGGATGCCAATACCTGAATGAAACAGGTATTGTCAGAAGCAGAGATAAATGGAGAACCACAAAGGATCATATAGATCAGCAGTAACATGATGAAGGTTAAGGAAAGACAAAGGGCACTTAAATTAAAACTGACAATTGTGCAATTACTGGAAAAGACAAATGATGGTTATTTGTATTGACCTGAACGAGCATATGAAAATGTCAATGAAGAGGATGGTTGTGAGAGCACAGAAGCCTCTCTGAGGGATACCTCCAAGCACAATGTACATACAGATCTCCCACAAGACTATCCCACAAGACTAACTTTCTGTATAAAATAGCCCAGGACTACAATTCTCTGTTTCCTCCATACTAACCCCTTATGTTGAAAGTCTGTCAGCCTATATCTACCAGAATGCTATGTCATGATGCAATGCAAAGTGGAGGATCTTATAGGCACATTGTTTTCTCTTTCATGAAGACTTTTTTTCTTGTTAATTCTCTGTTGCAGTTTTCCTTAATCAAGAGTAAAAGTTATTCCTGAGCGAATGTTCAAGTTTTATTCACTAAGCACGGAAAATTCACAAGTCTGAAAAATGATGGGTACCATAATTTGGAAAAAATATTAGGCAAGATGGCAGAATATACTTTAGAGATGACATGCCATTTGACACTGATGCTATTTTACCTTTTCCACAAAATACATGACACCCTCATGGCCTCGCTCTCCAGGAGGTTTCCAGCTGAGCACCACATAGTTTTTAGTAGCTTCAATAACTTGGAGGTTTGAAGGTGGCCCAGGAACAACACCCTCTGTAGAACAGGATAGAAGAGAGAGAAATATATGTTTGAGTCAGCCAGCTAAGCTAGGAAAGTCCTCAGCCCTTATCCAGGTGCTCTAGTAAATACATCAATAGATTTGTTTGTGTTGCATTAGACAACCTTAAAGTTGAGTGATTTTAAAAGTCTTTAAAAATGTGCCTACTTACTTGAATTTCTGAATTATTGCTGGGTTGAAAATATTTAAAAGTATCCCATTAGAAAACTATGAACCACTCTTTAGGAGTATTTTTCTCTCAAAATATAATTGAACTGAAAATCACCAAAATACTGTTTCTCTTTAAATTTGCAGTATCTGTGTGTTTATTTGGACAACATACACAGGGATAGATATTTTAAGGTACAGTGATTCTAGCTGGGAAGACTTTGGTCTGATCCAAAGTCCATTGAATTTAATGAAGATTGGCTTCAATAAGCTTCTATCGGCTTCAGTAAGCTTCAGTTTCAGTAAGCATCAGATTCCATTGGCTTCGATAAACTTCAGATCAGATTGTTTAAAGAGAAAGTACATATTTACCTGTTGGTTCTTCCTCAGTAACAATAATCTGTCCAGTCCAGGGGGCAGAAGGATGACCTGAAACAGAGTGCAGAATTAACTCAGGAGTCAGAGAAATGAGAAAGTGTTTTTAAACAGAAAAGAGGGCTTTTATTTATTGCTCATACCAAGCCTTTACACTAATGATTTCCTGTAAATTCCATCTAGAGGTATGTCTATACTGCAGTTGCTACTGCCACTTGTTAGTCAAGCTTAGCTTAATCAACTAGCTTAAGTACTGCTAGCAGCATAGCAAGGCTGCTACAACATCTAGCCAAGAAGCTGAACAATACTTAAATGGTTAGCCTCCACTGAGCTCCATGCTACTGTAGCTACTACACTGCTGGTTGTACTTGAGGATGGACATACTCCTGAATGATACTGAATGTTCTGAGAAAGGCTTGTAAAGAATAATTAGGATATTTACTCATATCACTTTAAAAAATCCACACACAGGAGATAAAGAAATGGGCGGATGTGATATTACACTGGAGCCCACTAATAGCTTTGTCTCTAACTTGGCACCTCTTTCTCTATACTGAAGAAATGTTTTGGTGCTAGCAAGTTTTCAATAAGGGAAACTGATAGAAGAATGCCAGAATAAAGGCTCATTTCCAGGATCCTGCAGATGGACTGGCTAAAGGGATTGTATTCAAAATGACAGAAAGTCTGCAATGGTTACTGTACTATGTCAGGACTGAAGCAGAAAAATTGAGAAGGTAGGATTATCAAATGAGATGGCTGGGAAAGGACTGTACTTTGATGAACTAAGTTTGCAGGTACTATAATGTTTTTCTTTCATGAATTTTTAGAAAGGTCAGTAAGTACTCTTCTCCTCATTTAACAGATGAGGAAAATGAGATACAAAGAGATCATATGACCCTAGAGAAACTGTCTGAAGGAGGCTGGCGGTAACATTTTCAGAAGCAAAAAGGAGTTACAAGCTTATTGTCCTGGTTCAAAAGATATGTTGATACTTAGGTGCCTAAGTCTCATAAGGCATATCTACACATGTAATTAATGCAAAGTCATAAACTCTGGAGCTTATTGCTCTGGTGTATATTGCTTCCGGACACACCATTTGAATGCATGCCTGGGACTGCAGCATGTTGAGTCAGGTCAATGCAGCCCTGGGTGGCAGAGGGCCCTGGAAGTCATGCCAGACCGGGACTGCTCCTCTGAGCTCATTGTATTGTGGAGGGGCTGGCTGGGCCACAAGGGTGCTTCAGTGTGGGGCTAGGCAGCAGGCAGCCCCCACACTGAAACACCCTTGTGCCCCTGCCAGCTGGGTTAGCATCTACATGTGCAATGCTGCAGAGTAAAAAACTGTGGAGTTTATTAGTTTACTTCAGCTTAATAGGGGCACACGTGTAAGCATATCATGTTTACTGCTGAGCTAATTAGTCAACTCGCAGTACACGTCTTGTGTAGATGCACCCACTGAGAGTCAACTTAAGTTACTACTAAAAATGGGTTTTAACCTCCTAAGTCACGTAGGAGCCACGAAGGCACTTTTCAGACTTTGTCTCCCAAGGGAATTTGGGTCATATTTTAATCCCATTTATACTGGTTAAAATCAGAATTAACTCCATTTTCTACAATGAATCCAAACTAAGCTTACAATGTGACCAAAACTGAATGTCCACTGGGCTAAACTATTTCTTGCTGAAGTATCTTTGAAGTCATTGAGGTCATATTACAGAAGAATTTGGCCAGCATATTTTTCCATTTGAACTGTATTTTCCATACTATACAATTTAACAGATCACTCATTAAAGGAGTTGGCAAGTTTCTAGAAGCTGCTGTTTTTCTTTTTCTCTGCTTGGTTGCTCTCATAATATCAAGTTGCAACACAAGGTTCACAGTTGCTAACAGAAACTACCCCACTGCCTTGCTATTAGTCACAACTGATATGATTTTAGGTAGCTTTTTTGGAATGTCTTATATAACCAGCTTGAAAAATGCCAACTTAGGCACCTGATCCTGTCCCTCTACAGCGTGTTCAATCAGCTGGGCCTTCTTATGCCATTCTCAAGCACTTTAGAATGAAGTTGGCTGCAATGCCAGCTATTCCAAAGAAAAAAAAGACAAGAATCAAACTGCTGATGTAGGAGTTTTCTATCCAGGGAACATACTTCCCTGCTCCTTTTCTTGTTTTCCTGCACTCCAGTTACCTAGAGGAAAGCTTTGGATAGAGGGCTTTCTTTTTTTTAGAATAAATTTTACAAGAAAGAGTAGATGAACTTGTTGGAAATCCAAATTGCCAAAGGAAGAAGATATGTTTTTGCATTGCTCCCTCTTGTGGAAACTTTGAAGGCTTACACATCATGATTCCATGACTGATAATTTTTTTAGCCCCTTAGGGAATATATCAAAACATCTCACTTCTAAGTCTGGCTCTGTCAGCAGGATCCAGAGCTGCCACCGGATCAGAAACTCGGGATGGTATGCTTATTCCAGCATTATTCACAGCTCGGACTCGGAATATGTATGAGCGACCTTCTATCAAACCCGTGACGGGGAAACGAGCAAACTTCACTGGAGTGTCATTGCATTGGGTCCAGTTGGTGGTACCAACCTCACATCTGAAAGAACAAATAAATGTGATACTGAAAATGGACAGAGGAAGAAAACTCTGAACACAACCTCTTACTACTCTAAATAGTTGTTCATATACATTGGCTTGCTTGTACCAATTTGCTCAGCACTCATGTATTGCCAACATAAGAACATCTGCACAAAGATGTCAAAGCTCAAGTACCTTGTGTGAATGCTGGCAATAAATTCCCTGCAGCTACACTGCCTCTTTCATGAAGTACAGAAGGAAAGGGATTTAAGGCTATTCCTTTTAGAGACCTCACTTCAATGCTTATAGCCTTTGACGTGTAGCTCAAGATGATCAATGAGCATTTCAGCTTCAGCATAAACTAAGGAAAATCAAACCCCAGTCACCCTTAGTGCTTACAGGGGGTGCATACCTCAACTTTTGTGCCCATTACTGAGAATTTTCACCTCTGCTGTACATCCAACAAATATAGTGAGTTTTACTGGGCAAAAAACATAGTTTAAGAGCCAAATTCTATTTCACAGGTGGGATAAGCATCAGCCTACCAATTTTGAACCAGTGGGCAGTCCTGTGGGCCAGATGGCCCAGCCCTAAGGACATAACTTTAACACCTCTGATTTAGTCCATAGAAAAGCTGTCATTTCTGATGTTTTTGCTTGTAATGGGGCATGTCTACATGGGACACCTTAATGAGCAGTGGACTGTCTACCGTGCATTAGTGCGTTACAGCAAAAATCGTGCTAATGTGCTAATCACAGGCAGAGGGAGAAGAAATTATTTGGGAAGGTGGAGCATATGTGTGCTCTGCCCACCCCCTCCACCCAGCAAGTAAGTCTGTGGGGGGAAGGAGCGGGGGAAAGGGGTAGGGAACAGGCCATGGTGGGGGCCCCCCTCACCTTGGGGGCCTCAATCTGCACCCCCACCAGTCCTTTCCACTTCACAGAATAAATTGATACTTCCCTGCTGTGCTGGGCAGTCAGTGATCCACATGCTGGGCTGCAATCCTGGCTGCGTTCATGCCCATGCCCCCCTACTGCAGCCACCCAGAGCCTGTGGCTGGGCTGCCTTGAGGTCCTACCCACTGCCCCATGCTTGGGGGGCTGAGCCCTGTTTACCTTGGCCTTCTGCTGCCATGGTGCTAATGCACAGTAGAATGTCTTCTGCATATTACGTGTTGGAAAAAAGTTCACCTTTGCTACTGCACATTAGCACAGCTACTGTGCCTTTATCTAGTACCCCATTTTAGTGATACTAAACATAATGCACAGTAGCAAAGGCACATGAATGAATTTGTAGATGCACCCTCAGAGTAGCACCCAAAGGATTCAGTTAGAAAGACCTGGTAGATCAGGCACAGGGCTGGGACTCAGGACATGTGGGTTTAACTCCCACAACCTTTCTTCAGCAAGTCACTCAGGGCATTTAGGCAGGTACAAAGAAACTTTTCAACAATCCCCTAGCACACAGCTGAATCTTTCTGTGTCTCATACCTTTGAAAGTCAGGCCCTTATGGCGTTTACATATGTGCTCTGTAATTAGAGTAGCTGCGAGAGCTGCTCTAATTAAAGTGTCCGGAGCATTACGTCTATTATTGTCGCTGCACTGCAATGGCAGCGGGGCTGCTTTAACTAAAGTTCATCTAACAAGCTTTAGTTAAAGCGGCCCTGCCACCATTTTTCAGTGTGGGGATGCTGCTACACATGATGCTGGAGTCTGTTGGAACATAGGAATTACCACACTCCAGCAGATTTAATTTAGCAAGTCTGCTCAGATGCACTGTAATTATAGTGCATTAGAGCAGGCTCACTGCACATGTATAGGAGCCAGTGAGTGAGGGCCTTTTTTTCTTTTAAAGGGCTGGGACACTGGGGCCAAGTGTGGCAGCCATTGATGGGACTGGGAGAGTGGGCAGGGGATGGGGCCTGTTCGATTTGGATATGGCTGTTCAGATATGGCTGAATCGATTCAGGACAGTGATTTAAATCACCGAATCGAATCACTGTCCCCCAAATTGGCCAAATCTGAAGCGAATACTAGCTGCTTCACACAGGCCTAGTAAGTAATGGTAATACCATCCCTTGTATTTGATCACTACATTTTATTCCTCTATGTCCTCTGTTTTTGAACAACAACAATCAGTAATAGAATTACAGATAAAGCATGATATAAATACTGACTTATCAATGAAATATCCAAGGATGTGGCTTCCTCCATCAACAGCTGGTTGTTTCCAGGAGATGATGACATAATCTTTGTTAGCATCTAAGCATTGAACATCCAGGGGTGAACCAGGAGCTCCTGCAATTTCAGCATCTGTATCTATGAAAATGGAGATATAATGTTTTGAATATGCATGACAGCTATTTCAAGGTTACTCTCTAAAGTCCAAATGCTGTTCCTATTTGGTAGGAAGTTTTTGCACTAACTTCAGTGGGACCGTGATTGGGTCCAACATCCCCCTAAAAATTCTACATTTCTTTCCCTTTTGCAACAACTTAATAACATTCAATATGCTGAGGCATATTACAATAATTGATACAGACACTTTGAAACAAACCAGAATCATGCATCTTGATTAGGATGCTGTCATGCATACTTAAACTAAAATCTCTTGGCTGATGAAATGACATTCTGATGACTTATTTTAAGTAAAATGGAAAACTCGATTCTTCAAGCAGAGGTGTTCTGGCAATGTTATCTAGTCCTTGAATATACAGTGTTGTAATTTTCAAGGGCATGCTTTCCATTTTTGTGATCTCTCTGACACAGACAGATAGATAGGTAATTTATTAAATTACAAGTTGATGAGATATTGCTAGAACACTGACCGTCACTATAGTCCAGTTAAGATTAATTTCCCCCACAAAAGGTGACCAGGTTTTTACCAGGCACTCCCTGAAATATTCATCTTTATGAAATGATAATTTTCTAGAATATCAAACTAAGGAATAGAACAAAACCTTTTTTTTTTTAAGGAAACACTAGTATTTCTCTTCTAAGGCAGATGAACTAGAATTGACAATACAAGCAGTGACTATTTTTATAAATCAAATCCCAAGCCATTTTTCTTATTAAAAAAATTCTGAGTATATTTTAATTGAAAAGAGTGAATCAAGTGAGCATGATATTTTCACACACTTTTGCACTACTTGATCTTAGTTTGGTTTGGGAGAAAAACAGTTGTTGCAGTTTGAAACTGTCAGAATCCGATTTTCATATTTCCAGCAGTTCCTTCAGTCTGAAGAAGGGGTTTGATTCTGGTCTTGAAGGTTAGGGACATAAGTTACACATAAACTGGTTTGTGATCAGAAACTGGTTTAAACCTGTAACAGAACAGAAGTTCAGTGCATATAAACCAGTTTCAAAATGGCTGAAACTAGTTTAAGATAAACCTGGTTGAATGTAGTATCAGACTTAACTGAATTAGGTCAAATCAGTTTATGAAACTTCTGTCCCAGACCCCTTCCTAGTTCAAGTTAAATCACAGCCCCCCCAGCATCCCAGAATGCTTTGCAGCCCTGGTCTGAGCTGTGTTGTCTGCTCCAGAGAGCAAGGTTGGCCCTGCCCCTCTGCTCTCTAGCTGGAGCAGTGAGAGCTGACTGACAAGGGGATGGAGGTGGGAAACCCAGCTAGGGACTGCAGCCAGGTTTGCTTGTAGGGGGAGAGAAGGGGCAGCCCCTGCCAGACTTTTCCCCGCTGGAGTGGAGGAGGCAGGAGGTGAGGGCAGGCAGGCTCAGGCACAGGGGAGGGAGGGGGATTTAAACTCCCTCTCTCACCAGCATGACACACCAGCTGAGGTCTGTTTGGCAGGAGGCTGGCAGAAGATGAGCAGATTCCGCCCCCTCCCACCTCTGGCAGAGACTGAGGCAAGTAGTTGATAAGGGGAGGGGGAGGGGGTATATTTCCCCTTGGCTCCCATTGGGGAGGGGGAAGAGGCTGGGGAGCTGGGGCTGGAGGGACTGGCCCCCTGCCACCTGTGAGCACAAGGCCAAGCCCTGCAGGACCAGACTGAGAGGTGGGAGGTGTTGGCAAAGACCTTGCATGATCCTCACATATATATGCTAGAGGCAGAGTTAAGGGAACAGATGGTCCCGGACTGGTAGGGGTGGTGTGACCAAAGAAAGCAGAGAACTACATTTACATTGTAAAGCAGAACCTGTAAAAAGTGGGAGACCTAAGCAGAGACAAAAGACAATTAATGCATGAGGGTCCTGCCAAAGGTGCTACAGGTGACAAGTATAGTAGTGTCAAGGCAACCAAAGGGGAGACGGGGATGCAAGTGTGCCTGTAAAAACTCAAGTAGAGACGATGCCTGTGGGATCCTCACTTCAACACCTATGACCACCTGCTGATTCCCCAAGAAGGACTTTCTGAATGCCTGGCTGTAAGAAGATACTCTGTCCTCAGGATTACATGAGACTTATGCATGGCTTTCTCTTGTCTTTTTGGTTTAGTATGTTCCATTTTAAATTAGACTAAGCTATGTGTGCTCTCACTGTGTTTTACTGGGCTGTATCTTAGCTTAGGTGAAGATTTTTGGTTGTTTTTTGTTGTGTGTTTGAGGTTTCAAATTGCTGTGTTCAATACATGCTTGCTTCAGAGAAAGGACTACTCTTGTTTAAGCTTTTATGAATTCAATGCCACTACCTTTTTCCCCAACCACCCCCTCCTCAGCCTAGCAGGGACTGCCCTCCCTTCCCCAAGTAGGGCAGGGGCAGAAGCCTGGCAGGCACTGCCTGCCCACCCAAGCAGACCTGGGCTGGGATCCTGTGTGGGCCAGGGAGGGGCTTTAAACCCCCACCCTCCAGTGTGCTAACCCCAGGCTGGGGCCTGGCTACTCCCTCTCTGCTCAAGCAGGGAGCAGGGAAAAGATTTGGAGCTTCAGTCCCTTCCCTTTGGCAGTGGCTGGCAGGCTGGGAGACATGCTCTAGTGCCCCTGGCTTCTGGCCTTAGCCACTGCAGGCTTGTGGCTGGATTTTCTGAATCAAAAGGGAATGTCTGTTCCCTTGCTTTTCCTTTTAATCTCTGTAGTTTAGACTAACCTGTAAAGACTGAATCAATTCAGCCTCAGGCTTTTTGACTATCTGTACTTAGCCATATTGATGAGAATCAGGAGTAAATACATTGAGGAAACTCATAGCAACAGCATAAAACCACAGTATCAGGGAGAAGATTTAAGCATGAGGAATTCAGACATGCTAGAGTGCTTACCCATACCCTTTGAGGTTTGACTATTACTATACTACACTACACAGATACACTCATTTTGGAAAGGAAACTGTAGAAGGATAAGTATGTTCTTCCTTTCATATGTTTATTACAAGTCTGAGGCCCTAGGTATCAGAGAAGCCTTGATTTAGTATCTGTTTTTAGGCCAACCTTATCTAAAACTTTCAAAGCCAAAGTGTAGAACTAGATACAGGGGCCTGAAATTGTTTATGCAACCAGATCCTCATTCTTGGGACAGGACCTGTTTGTATAGCTGTAAGTACCTTAACATACTTGTTGGAAAAAATAAACATTCTGTAACCTTTCCAAGAAGTCTGTGTGAAAAGTTTTCACAGAAAAGCCATTGTTTCTGACCAGATCAACATCAGTTTATGCAATTACTCCTGGCATTTTCTCAATCCTGTTGTGAGCTACTTAAGAGAACAGAGGTAGGGGGTGGAGTTAAACAAAAAGGATCTGCAGACTTGAAGGAAAATAGTGCTTTAGTTAATTAAGCATTTTTACATGTTATCTATAAACATGAATTTTAAATATGCTTGGTCTTCCAGAATATTACCACATTTTCTATTATTTATTATAATGGCCCATTTTACAATATTTTTCCAACTCTTATTCTTTCTAGCTCCAAAATAAATACTTTGGAACCTTTGGAAAAGACCCAATTATACCATAACCCCTTGTGGATATTAAAATATTATTTGAACATTCAAGGACTATGCCAAAGCTACTTGAGTCTGGACTCTGTATGTTCCTCACCCCCCCTGCAGTATCAGTGTTATATTACATAACTCATATTTTATAGAATAAATTATTCATTTAATATAGCAACATTATAAACATTATTAGTATTATTAATAATGCAATTTTTTAAAGTGTATGCCATAGTGACTGTTTGAAAGGCTTTCATTGTTAATATTTATCACATGGTAGGATCTGAGGTACCACAGATTCTCTTCAATACTTATATTAGGAAATAACTGTGATAAATTCCCACTGATGTAAGCAATACCATATTTCCCCCCTATTCATAGATTCACAGATTCATAGATGTTAGGGTTGGAAGGGACCTCAATAGATCATCGAGTCCGACCCCCTGCGTAGGCAGGAAAGAGGGCTGGGTTTAGAAACTGTGAAGAAGTTCTTCCTAATGTCCAGTCTAAATCTGCTCTCTGCTAGCTTATGGCCATTATTTCTTGTAACCCCCAGGGGCGCCTTGGTGAGTAAGGCCTCACCAATTCCCTTCTGTGCCCCCATGATGAACTTATAGGCAGCCACAAGGTCGCCTCTCAACCTTCTCTTGCGGAGGCTGAAGTGGTCCAGGTGCCCCAGTCTCTCCTCATAGGGCTTGGTCTGCAAGCCCTTAACCATATGAGTGGCCCTTCTCTGGACCCTCTCCAGGTTATCCACATCCCTCTTGAAGTGCGGTGCCCAAAATTGCACGCAGTATTCCAACTGCGGTCTGACCAGCGCCCGATTGAGGGGAAGTATTGTTTGCTTACAAATGCTTACTTGATAGCAGTGACCACTGTATGGAAACAGTAGGTGCCAAAGCACTTTCCAAACTCTGTCAAATGTGTTCCTAACCTAGACCTGATCCTAAGCATTGCTCTGCACTCACAGGCTTAGGGCTAGGTATCAGGATGTGTATACACACCACTGAAGGGCAACCAGTTGGGATTAAATATGGCAGTTGACCACCTATATAAAGCAATTGGCTAGGATAGGAAGTGAAGAAAATATTTAACTGAAATTGTACGGAAAATCTAAGTAAGCAAGAATTTAATAATAATTAAATAAGCAAGTACGTAATTACGTAAGCAATTATCTTAATTAGGATTTGGCAAAGACAGCATGATTAACTTCCATACCACTTTGAAAAGTGTCAGGAGGACTTCAGTAGTTATTAATGATTAAGAACTCAGTTCTGTATTTCATGCAAAAGGTGTAACAGTAGCAAGAATGATCATTTATTTATAATTTTTTCACAGTGTTTTCTTGTCACAGCTGTACATTTCAATGGTTTCTTTCTACGAAGTGTGAATATCTATGCTCTTGATAGGTTTTCCAAGCAGGCTGTTATCTGTCTCTCTCTGGGTTCTGCTGAATTTGGCAAAGTTTAAAAAATGACTCTGGTCATGTGAAAAACCCCCCAATTTCCAAAGTATTTAGCATTAGCATCGCACACCACAGCTGCCTTTGGCAGCTGAGACAGGTATAGAATCAGTGCATGGACCAGTGAAATCTGATAGTTCAGAACTTTCTTAAAGGAATATTCTTTCTAACAGAACTTTTCATTATACAAAAATATAAAACTGACACACAAAAAGTTATTCTTAGTGGGTTGTGAATTTTAAATATATTCTAGTCTAGAGACTGACTCACCTTCCCTATTTGATATCTATTCTATTGGATCATATTGTCTTGTGTGTTAGAACACCTCAGAATTCTTGCACAAAATCTTAGTCAAAAACTGTGATCTGAAATTAGCAAATAAATTGCCCCAAGAACTCATTAACCATTTAAGTGAGTTTTTCTTCTTTATGATTAGTGTGCAACACTGTTCAAAGATGTATCAAGAAAAGATTGTAAAACTGCACCAATTCAGTGACTTTCTCATCTGAATCATGATTATGCTGGTATGGTCCAAATATCCTCTTCCATATGGCAGTGTCACCAGACCAAAGGTATCCTATCACATTTTCTAAGTGACAATAATGGGAAATTATCATACTATAAATGGGTATTTCTTCAATGTCATGTCATTCTACCCATCTTAAACAACTCTGTAACCACATTTACTTGCTGCTTGTGTAATTCATAGGGTAGCATCACCTGTCTTACCTCGAACAAAGACATAACTGCTGTACTGTTCATAGTAGTCTCCCATCACGACACGTAGAGTATAAAGACCTTCATCTTCCTTGTTTGCGTGTGTAAGGGTTAGCGTAGCTCGTTCCCCACTCCAATGCATATTAACCCATTTGGAGGGTGTAATAAGAACTCCTAGAAGTTAGATTGTTTCATAAAGAGAGGCGGCAAAATTAAATCTATCCCTAAATACAGTGAAACTCATAGTACAGACCATCTTTAATAGACAATTTCTTGTTAAGAAACAATCACAATGTCCCCCTAACTCTGATCTTGCATCAGTTTTAAAGTGAA